AGCTGGTCATTTTCCAGCCTGACCAGCTAATACCAGGCTGGAAATGGCTGGAAACCAGCCTGGAAATGGCAAAAACCCCTCTAAAACCAGCTTGGTCGACCAGCTAAAACCAGCCAACCAGCTTAGGCTAGTTTAAGTTGCTTTTTCCAGCAGGTTCTTGCTATTTATTTAACGTTTCAGTAATTTAACCAGCAGGTAAACAGTTTCTCTAGGTATTATTTAACAATGTGTAACCAACCTGACAATATACAACGCGAAATTCGACGCACTCTCATTGTTAAAGCAATGCAGATGCGTTTACTAAAATAATACATAATGTACAACAATGTATATTGTAGATGTATTATACATGATTAAATCTGCATAGAAAAGAACAAGATTGACATTGTTATAAACAAGATAAATGATCAAGAACACAAACCTTTCCTCCTTTCTTCGCCGATCATCAGCGATCACAGCAGAATGCAGCGCAGCCTGATGACGTTTATATTTGTTTATGTGGTCAAGCGCGGTAAACAGAGCATTAGCGCCACCTGCTGCTCACTCAGAGCACAAACACTTTCATTTGAAGAGCACTTTCTGCCTCTCGACGTTCAGTCTACATTCAATAAATATCGTTGTTAATAATAATAGTAATTATTATTACCCTGCTGAAAAATCCAGCTTAAACCAGCCTAAGCTGGTTGGCTGGTTTTAGCTGGTCGACCAGGCTGGTTTTAGAGGGGTTTTGGCCATTTCCAGGCTGGTTTCCAGCCATTTCCAGCCTGGTCTTAGCTGGTCAGGCTGGGAGATGACCAGCTAAAGCCAGCTTTACCAGCTTAGCCAAGCTGGGAGTCCAGCTAAAACCAGCTATAACCAGCTTAAACCAGGCTGGTCAAGCTGGTTTTAGCTGGATTTGGCTGGTCATTTTCCAGCCTGACCAGCTAAGACCAGGCTGGAAATGGCTGGAAACCAGCCTGGAAGTGGCCAAAACCCCTCTAAAACCAGGCTGGTCGACCAGCTAAAACCAGCCAACCAGCTTAGGCTGGTTTAAGCTGGATTTTTCAGCAGGGATTATAAATGGCAACCTTTAGAACAACATTTAACTTCATAGGCAAACCGTGTTGGCGTGGGTTTCCTCCTGGTGCTCCGTTTTCCCCTACAAGTCCAAACACATTCACTATAGGTGAACTGCGTAATCTAAATTGTCCGTAGTGTATGTGTGTGATTAAGTGTGTATGGATGTTTCCCACCCTGCTGAAAAATCCAGCTTAAACCAGCCTTGGCTGATTGGCTGGTTTTAGCTGGTCGACCAAGCTGGTTTTAGAGGGGCTTTTGCCATTTCCAGTTTGGTTTCCAGCCATTTCCAGCCTGGTCTTAGCTGGTCAGGCGGGATAATTACCAGCTTAATCCAGATAAAACCAGCTTGACC